TCCTCCTCCTCCTCCTCCTCTTCCTCTTCCTCCTCCTCCTCCTCCTCCTCCTCCTCGTCGTCCTTCTTTCTCTTCCCCCCCTCTTTCGTCATCCTCCTTCCTTCCCCCGTGGGCGCGACGCCGAACCCTGGCCAGGCTGGGCCAAGGCGACCCCGCGGGGGGACCGCGGGGAGAAAGAGGCCAGCGGGCTCTCGCAGGGGTGGCAGCGCGACGTCGCGAGCGACCGCATGCGGCCGGCGCGGACGGCAACGTTTGGCCGCCGGCAGGATCGAACCTACGGACTGGGGTCCGTAAATTCGGTCCTCCTGGACTGGGGCTCCAAAAGATCGGACCAGGCGGTCTTGGGTCGCTTTTGGCCTCCAGTGGCACTCGCCTGGCCACGGGAGTGTCGCACAACGACTCAGGACGAAAAACCCGTCCAGGGGAAATGGTCCAGACATCCAAAGCCCACGCGTCGGAAAAATTGGAGCAGCCGGATGTGTGGGATGTCGCGCTGACTCCCATCTTGCCGGCCCTCCTTCTCCATGGCTTTCGCGTGTCAGCGCTGGCGTGTGCTTGCCCACCGGAAGCCCTCAAACGCGACGTGGGCAGCGTAATTCATGGGGGATGACGCAGGTCGCGCGCTTCTAGCGGAGCTGACCGAGGCACACACACAAACCCACAAGACACGCACACACGTGCACAAGAGCAGACTTCGTGCGCCGGCGGCTTGGCAGAGGTCGACTGCTCCGGCGGTATGGCAACAGGGGGCGCGCTGTATGCAAATTAATGCCGCAATGCAGAGGAAGAGGAGGAGGAGGAGGAACCCCAAAACAAAAAGGCAGACACACTCAGACATACAGACACACAGACACACAGACACAGGAACACGCAGAGACATAGTAGGTCCTCCTCCTGTGAGGCGACGGCACCGTCCCGACTGCCTGAGGGGGAGAATTCAAAGCAACCAATGATTACTGCCCCCCGTTGAGGATAGGAGCGATCGCGCGAGCGCTGGCGGGAGTGCAGCGAGCGAATTGCATCAAGCGTTGTGGACGCGGCCTGGCTCGCACAAACACAGACACATACATGCACGCATACGTAGAGCAGAGCAGAGCAGAGCGGCCAATAATCCGTCCGGCGGGCTCCGTAGTGCGCTTCGCGCACGGAGAGACCGTACATGTGCGCAGTACTGGGAGACCGTGAAACATTGAAGCGTCAGACGCTTGAGGACACACGCACGAAGGCAGAGAGGGACGCACGGCAAGCGAAGACGGGGGGCGGAGGCAAAGGAGAGGAAGGGACGAACGACAAGAAGGACGACGGAGGGCACGCGAGCTTGAAGGCGTGCAAAGCCCCGAGCGAAAAGAGTGAAGGACAGCCGATGGATGGATTGTGACGCTTACCTATCAGCAACACGGACAGAGCGGCGCAACGGCGGCACGGCTCGGAGGGCGCAGCGCCCACGGGTACATTGCAGCCGCTCCCTGTACTGCAGCGGATAGCGCGACTCCCATGGATGCATCGCATCTGCTCCCTTTACAGGAGGAGGAGGAAGAGGAGGAGGAGGGAGGAGGAGGAGTCTGCCTGGCCTTGCAGGGAGCAAGCTGGGTGCGCCTCACGAGTCGTTCCATCTCTTGACAGGGCGCCCGGTGCACCTGCGCGCCACTGTCCGGCGCCACGGCTTCCAATTCAACAGCGTACGCGGCCACTGTCTTCTGTCGTCGGCCTATAACTGCTCGGTGAATCTCCCCTTCTTCACTGACAGGGACTCCCCCCAACTCTTCCCGCCCATCTTTGAGACTGGCTGTTCGCAGAACCTTGTGGACCTCTTGATATTTGCAATCCACGTTTCTTCTTTCCTGCGCGGCACTTGGCAAATATTTCGCGTCATTCTCCTCCAAGCACTGCGCAATGCCTGCTTAGTGTCTCCCCACACAGTCCACGGAGACGGACCGTACAGCGCCGTGGGGGTGACCACGTATATAAAAATCTTACAACGGGACATCAATGCGAACAGTCTGTTGCACAACGCATGCTTGTATTTACAAAATGCTCTCCACGCCGAAGCCAGCCGATGGGACAGCTCAGCACCACGGTAATCTCCCAAAGTCAGAGTTCATCCCAGGTAATTCTCAGAGCACGCTGGCTGAAGTATATCGACTGCATCGCCCCCGACGAGAGCCGCGGCGCCAACTTTCACCCCCCTGTTCGTGAGGATCTCTGTCTTGCCCAGGTGCACGACCAAGCCGTGCCTGGACGTCTCGCGCGGCAAGTGACATAACAGCTTTCTCACGTCGCCCTGGCTCTGCGCAAAAACCAAGACGTCATGGGCAAATCTCAGGCTGGTCAGCGGGCCGTCCTCCGCGTCGATGACAAACCCGAATTCATGGCCCGAGCGCCTCTTGCTGAGAGCTCCCCCTTTGCGCTTGAGCGCTTGCAAGCACTTCTCCAGCACCGCAGTGACGAGGAGCGCGCTGATCGGGTCTCCCTGTTTCGCGCCTTCCTTCAAGGAGAACGGGCGTGATTCGGCTCCCGCGACCACCGTGGCTGTCTGATCGCTGCAAAGTTTCTTAAACAGATCGATACACGGCGCGTCCACGCCGAAGTCACGTAAGACCTGCCAGAGCGAGTCGTGCTCGACAGCACCGACCAAACGCCTTCTCAAAGTCGACCAGGCCCAGCCAGAGCTCCTGGTTCCACTCCGAACATTTCTCGACCAACAGCGTCATTGCAACAAGGTGGTCCCATTGCACACATACGTGCATACACAAAAGTCGCCGTAACGCTTGTCCTCTACGCGCCCAAATGGACGACGCCGACACCACGGCAAGCGCCGACACCATGGCACACCCACGGCAAATCTTTCGTCCCCCGATCGAGGTAGACGCAGCCGGCACCGCGGCAATCCCACAACGACGCCAGATTGTCCGGGGCGGCGTCTGCCCTGGTGGCAGCGGCGCCCCCCTCAAGACATCAGGCCGCGCGTCAGTCGAAACAAACGGCGCGGCGCCATATGAATGTACACATACACGCGCTCGCATACACTTCTTACGTCGGCGGCAAGTCAAAGCCACTGCGCTGGCGAAGAAGCGACACGTGGCTGCCGTCAAGCAAATTGGGCCACCATGCAGGAAGGGAGGAGAAGACGACGAAGCGACGACACGCGCCCATACACAGAGGGCCCACACGTGCTGAGGAGCATCGATGGAGCGGCGGCCCTGACTGGCCCGCGCTCGCAGCGCCGTCCGCGGACGCCCCCGCGCGCGGTCCTTCAGCTTCTCCTGCACCGACCGCTTGGACGCCGGGTCCAGCGGCGCAAAGGCCTCGTCGATGAGGAGGACCTGGGCGGGGAGGGGCACACTAGGCGTCTGCACCCCTTGCAGGGGCGGGGGGAGAGGAAGTGAGGGGGAGGACTTGCTGATCGGAAGGGGTCGGCCATCGCTCTCAGGGGCCGCTCCATGGTGGATGAGGCCTCTTCCTGCCTGTGCCCCCCGCCGGCATGGCAGCGTGACGTCGGGACGCCCGCGAGGCACTGCTCTGGTCTTCCTCGGCTCTGGCAGGATCAAGGGAAAGCCGATATGCGAGGAGATGAGAGGCAACCTCACAGATGCAGAAGGGTACAGGTGCGAAGCAATGTGTGTGTGGGACTCCGCCGCATATTAGCCTCAACAAATTCTTGTCGCACAATGCTGAGGTCGAGCTCGCATCGAAACGGGAAGAGACCATATGCGGGGTGGTGGAGAGAGGATGTGGCAGTAACAAGTGTTACGCGCGCGCCCTGGCTATTCCACGAACGAACGAAGCGGACGACGGAAATGAAGGGCTCCGAACTCTTGGGGAAGCAAAGAGGTACCGATACCGCTACTCCATGGACCTCTCCTGGGGTGCGTTCTGGCTTGGATTTCGAGGCAAATCCAAAGGTGGCGGCGAGGGGAAATGCCAGACAACGGGGGAGAGGTAGCGGTATCGGTACCTGTTCCTCCTCTGAGCTCTAGGGTGCAGCTGGACATGTCGCCCCCTACGAAGCAGCAGTGTGGAGCCTCCTGGCGACCATCGAAGCCAGGCGGTTTTTCGTTTGCTGCTGCACCGGATCCCTGTGCTCGTGGCTTTGCGCCCTTCCCGAAGGAAAGCCTTGCGCCGAAGTCAAAACTTCGGGTGGCACCTCCCTTGGAACCTTCGTACCCCTTCTGGCCCCTCTGCCAAGGCCCCTCGTCTTCCTCTTTTCGAGGAAGACTGGCGTAAACGCAAACGTTCGGAAGTCCGCATGGATCTCCCGGATCGACGCTGGACCCCCGCCCTGGCGGCGCCTCCGGCGCCGCACCAGGCGCGCTCCGCGCGCCAGGGACGGGGTCCAGCGCCGACCTGAGAACGCCGCGCGGAGCTACGACAGGTGATGTGTGTGCATACAATCAACCCGAATAGGGCAGATGCGCGATAAGCGATAAGGATGCAAGGGCCGTGGACGTCCACTTCGAAGCTCTTCGAGCGGGGCGCGGCCAACGAAAGTGGCGAAGGATGGACCGAGGAGGCAAGGACACAAGGGTACCCTTGGGAGGGCTGCCCATCCTTACGATGCGGGTTGGCTGTGCGATCTTCTTCGATCATCCCCCCGAAGTTTGCTATCAGAGAACGGGCCCCGAGGGGACCAAGCCACTGACCCCGGGACCTTTCCACAGGACCGTGTCGTTTCATCCCGAGTCGTTTCTTAATGGTCCCATAAGGAGGGGGGGGAGGAGGACGAGGAGGAGGAGGAGGAGGTGGAGGAGGGAGGAAGAGGAGGAGGAGGAGGAGGAAGGAGGAGGAGAGGAGGAGGAGGAGGAGGAGGAGGAGGAGGAGGAAGGGGGAGGAGGAGGGCCCCCGGAGCGTGACGAGATCCCCAAACCCCAAAGCCCGCTACTCCCAGGACCCGTCTGCTCCACGGCGGAACGTGGGCCAAAAAGAGTCCTCTCACGCCGGTGCTGGGCCTGCGGGGCCTGCGGCCGTCCTCGAGGTTGTTCGCCCCTCCCACACTCGCCTCCTCCTGCCCCTCCTCCTCCTCCTCCTCCTCCCTCCTCCTCCTCCTCCTCCGCCTCCCCTCCGCCTCCTCCTCCTCCTCCGCTCCGCCTCCGCCTCCGCCTCCCTCCTCCCTCCTCCTCCTCCTCCTCCTCCTCTCCCTCCTGCTCCACTCCTCTCCTCCTCCTCTCCTCCTCCTCCTCCTCCTCCTCCTCCCTCCCCCTCCTCCCCCTCCCCTCCCCCTCCCCTCCTCCTCATCTTCCCCCTCCTCTCCTCCTCCTCCTCCTCCTCCTCCTCCTCCTCCTGCTCCTCCTCTTCCCCTCTTCCCTCCTCCTCCTCCTCTCTCCTCCTCAGCTCCCCGCCTCCTCCTCCTCCTCCTCCTCCTCATCTCCTCCTCCTCCTCCTCCTCACTCCCCTCCTCCTCCTCTCCTCCTCCTCTCCTCCGCCTTCTCCTCCTCCTCCTCCTCCTCCCTCCTCCTCCTATTCCTCCTAATCCTCCTCCTCTCCTCCGCCTCCTCCTCCTCCTCCGCCTCTTCCTCCTCCTCCTCCTCCTCCTCCTCTTCCTCCTCCTCCTCCTCCCGCCTCCTCCTCCTCCGCGTCCTCCTCCTCCCCGTCACTCCTCCTCCTCCCCTCCTCCTCCTCCTCCTCCTCCTCCTCCTCATCATCATCATCATCATCATCATCATCATCATCCCCTTCCTCCTCCTCCTCCTCCTCCTCCCCTCCTCCTCCTCCTCCTCTCCTCTTGCTCCTTGTCCTCCTCCCCCTCCTCCTCCTCCTCCTCCTCTCCTCGTCCTCCTCCTCCTCCTTCTTCTCTTCTCCTCTTCCTCCTCCTCCCCTTCCTCCTCCATTCCTTCTCTTCTCAAATATTTTCTCCTTGTCGCGCCCCGAGGCCAATTTTGAGGGCGGGCCGGAGGTGTCGCCTGAGACTTCCTCACAACTTGTGGTTCTGAAGCTTAAGAGACTGACAGCAGCTTCGCAGATGGAGGGCAAGCCGATTTCAAAATGTGGCTCTCGCGCTAGCGCCGCGCACATTCGTTGAACATTTGCAAGAGATTCGCGCATTGACGGCGGGTCGTTTTCAAAATGTGGCTCTCGCCGTAGCGCCGCGCCCATTCGTTTAAACATGTGCAAGAGTTTCACGGATTGGGGGCGGGTCGTTTTCAAAATGTGGTTCTCGCCGTAGCGCCGCGAACATTCGTCTTAAACAAGTACAAGAGCTTCACGGATTGAGGGCGGGTGGTTTTCAAAATGTGGTTCTCGCCGTAGCGTCGCGCATACCCGTTAAAAACAATTGCACGGGCTTCGCGGATTGACGGCGGATCCTTTTTCAAAATGTGGATATCGCAGTTGCGCCGCGTATGTTTCAATTTTCCATGATTTTCAATGTTTTCCATGATCAGCGTACCAGAGATACTGTTGTCGCAGGATTCAGGACTATGCGGGCGCAGCAGATCTGTTGATTCGCTGTTTTGAAGTCCCACAAATGTTGTTGTGGCGCAATTCCGGATCGTCAAGACGCAGCAGTCAGGTTGACAAGAGGCGTTGGCATCCCGAGAACAATGTCTTGGCATGCTTCGGGATATTCAACCTGTTGTCTTCCAACGAGGCATTTTCCCCAATGAAAATGAACCGTTGTACGGGCCTATGAAGCGGGAGCTTGGAGGGAGAGACAAATTTCAACATCGTTGATGACTCTTGGGTTGAACATTGGTCATCCCCTCCCCCTCCTCGTCCTCCTCTTCCTCCTCCTGCTCCTCCGCATCCTCCTCCGACTCCTCCTCCTACTTTTCCGCCTGCTGTTCCTCCGTTTCCTCCTCCTCCTCCTCCTCTTCCTCCTCTTCCTCCTCCTCCTCCTTCTCATCCTCCTCCTATAGAGACCCAGGGACTAGTTAACATGAGTCACGCATGCACAACAATCACTTCAACACTCTCCCAGCTCACGGGGGCTGGGGGATCACCCCAGACGCGAAACACTTGCACCTGCCCAAAACATTATCTTTAACGGGGAAGGCACCGTGCAACAGACATGGAGACATCGGCACCTTACTGTTCATAAGCTGCCTCGTGTCTTGAGACTTGAGGTACTCTACGCACTATTTCCTCGAATCTAATGCTCTTGACGCCCCATTGTGTCCGCGACGAGCGCGCCGCACCACGGGGGGCGCCCGGGCCCACAACCCAGGACGCGTGAAAGCGGCGCCCGGACTTATCGGGAGCCCTCAGGACACTGAGAAGGGACGGGGTCAAGGCACGGCAGGGGGTCTCGGTGAATGCAGGAACCTTCCCTAAACAGCACGCGCATCTCCAGTGATCTATATGCCAGCGAGGGACACGCGGGTTCATGGGCCTGCTGAAGCGAGGGCGCACAACCCCCCTGCTGATCGCTGGAAGTTCCGTGGCGGGGGGCCGCGGGGACAGGAGTTTACCCGCGCCGAGAAACAGGGCCGTGGGCAAATTTAGCCCTGCATTGAGCACGTCGATCGCTGACTGATCAAACTCCTGCCTGCGGGCGCCTTGCTCCGCCAGGTCGGACGAGTCGGCCGCCTCGATTTCCTATCGGTGGGCCATCAGTTCGTGGAAACTGACCCAACTCGAGGGATCCCAATCCTGAGCCACCTGCCCCCACGAGTGATCGCAATCGCTCTTGAGGCCCATGGCAGAAAACGGGGGCGCCTGGGCCGTCAGAAAGGCATCGAACTTAACGCCCCGGGCCTCATCGCCCCCGACGTGCGTTTGATGCGCGCGCATGCGTGGCAGCGGCGCGCTCGCCGACGGCCGAGCTCTGGCCCGGAACGTCTGGCACTGTTCCACAGATCCCTCGGATCAGGCGCCCCGCCCAAGACAAGCGCGCAAAGCGCCGACCTGCGCTTGCCAAGAACCCCCCCATTCGGCCCGAGGGAGGAGACATCTTCACGGGGCCCATCCTCGGGGTCGAATTCGAACGGCTCTACATTACACCGTCCTTGCTGTGGCAAATTGCGTAGGCATTGGGCGGGGCAGGCGCGTCGATCCGAGCCAACCAGCCCCTGGAAAACAGAAGACTGATGGGGCCCGCTGTGAGGGCTTGCGGCAAAATGCCAGCAGACATCGCATCATATCTAGCTTCTCTAGCAAACCTGCATTCAAAACACCCGTTGAAGACCGCGCCCTCCTTCCCGCACCCATGGGGGCACAGGGGGCAATGGATCTGGCCGCGGGCGAGGCGGCGCTTTCTGTTCAGAGTCTTGGAGCGAAGCTCCCACCAGAGACCGTGACTCAAGAAGGCCTCTGAATCAGGGGCGGGGGTGGGATTCGCAAGCAGCTCTTGCGACATTATGGATCCCAGCGTCCTTGCGTCGCTGCTCCGACTGCTCAGCATTGAAAGAGGGCGCGAGAGTGGTGGCATCCAGCACGCGGCCCTTGAGATCCCGAAAATCAGACGGGCCCTCCAAGGAAGGACCAGCCAGCCTCGCGGCACCACCGGAGAAGGTCACCCATTGGCCCCCAGCTCCCTTTACACCAATACTTCTTAGCACTGTTCTGTTTGGATTACACCTGGCCCGGGCAGCTCTGCGCCACTCAGACAGGCGCTCAAACCCAACGCACCAGCATGCAGATGCTGCAGATCACCCCCACTGCTGTAGACGCCCACCATTCCGCGCAATATCTCTCAATCGCAGCATGCGTCAAATGCGCTGGGTCCACGACCTCCGACAGTGCCCGGCCCAGCGCCACGCGCAATCCGCGCATGCTTTGCCCGCGACGCTTTCGCGCCTGAGATCGTTTCCTCCGCATCATGCGCCACGGCAAGAGCAGCGCCGGAAACGGCGTGCCTCGACTAGCGGCTCTCGCAGTCAACCTAGCGCTGGCAATCTCCCCGCGCTGGGCCGCCATCTACCCCCATCGTTGCGCCCGAATTATGTGGGCCTTTCGATGGGCCCTCTGCTTTCCGCCGGCGACGTCGGCGCCTAGGTTCCTCATGGCGGACACACCAGGACCACCCACAATACCGAGAGCCTTTCTCGCCAACATCAGCATCATGACACTCGGCGTCGTCGCGTGCCACTTGCGCGCGGCGAAGGGGGGCGGCCAGTTCCTTCGGTGGCCGATGTCTAACTCAACGCACGTGTTCTTGCATATTTTAAGTATCTCTAGCACGACTGGCCACCATTGGTGCTGCGACACGTCATCAATGTGGAGCGATAACATGGATATGCCCCCTGGTCCGTTGCGAATATATCCTTCGATCGCGGGTGGCAGCGCCAGCTTGGCTTCGAAAGTCGCACCAGCACCCCCAGCGACAGCGCCACGTCCTGGGCGCATGGGGCCCACGAGGAGCTGGTCATTCTTCAGTAGTCTCGGCCACGCATGGGTATACAAAGAACGACGCACCAACGCAATGGAAACACCCACCAACGACGCATTAGTATTGCGAGGGAGCCATGGTACATGCATGCAGAAATTCAACATACCCCGTATCACGGAGAGGAATACTGGTTCGTGTTCGAACTGCCCTCTGCCAAAAAAGCTGTTTCGCCGCGCTGTGTCTCCAGGGAAGCGATGCTGCCCCATGGAATAGACTGGGTCAAGACCGAGTTTGTCTTTCCATTGCCTGAGTCTCTTCCTGCCGAGTCTTCCACTGGTCCTCATAGAAACTGAACAGAAGCCAAGGGGGCGGCGAACCCGGGATGGTGCGTGCGCAAGATGAACGGTGATACGTTGCATGGCAATGGAGGCAGCGCCAACCATCTCCATGAGGAGAAGCACCTTACCGGAGACAGCGAGGGCATGGTCATCCGATCCAAGTAACGCATGGGACGCCAATCGTTAGGTTGGCGCGCGCGTAACTGGAACCTCTTGCTCTGGCATTTGATGTCATCTGGAGCGCGCAGCTTCGCGACCTCCGAAGCCCCAACAGACCACTGTGATTCACGCGCGATTGGGCCGCATTGCAATGCGTCGCTCAACTCGCCATGCTCTTCACGTACTCTGGCATCGACAGGCATGCGCGCCAGGCAGCCCTCCGCGTGGCCCTCGAACTTCGGCAAGAGAGGTACCAACTGGTCCTGCAGATGCCGGGGCGCGACCTTGGAACCGCTGCTCATGGCTTCGTCGCGCCACTGCTTCCATGCGCGTGAACGAAGCTTAAGGGTGGGCACCGGGATCTCGCCATGGATGGGCTGCGCGATATACACTGCCTCCTGCAACCACAGCATCCTAAAATCGTGGTCCACTTCTGTAAGACTGCCAGCGCTGCTGAAGATCGAGTTCCACGAAATGACGCCACTCTTCCAACGACAGCAGAATGGACCCCTCATACTGTCGGGCAGCTTCAGCAGGTCCTCCACAAGTTTATGCCAGTATGTCGTAGCCTTGCCCTCCAAAAATAAGCGCGTTGATCTCTCCAAGTCGGTGAGTTGCCCATGCGAGCGCACGCAGCGGGTCGGGCTTGTGACGCGAGCGCGCGATTGAGATTTTCCTGAGAGCCTTCAGATCCCACTCAGGCTCAGCACAACCTGCCGATCCAGGTGCATCACACCCCGCGAGCGTCAAGACATCCTTACAAGCAAGGTCGTTCTATTGATCGTCGACCTCATTCAGCGCCTCTGTGGCTGTCTGGCGGAGTTCCCCATGTAGTGCGAACTGCTGCTCATGGGGCCCCGCGCCCAAGGTGGGAAACAGACTGTCTAACTCCCCGTCCATGTCAGCACATCTTTCGCCTACAGACTCTGGCATAGGTCCGATAATGCGCCTCCCTGGCGGCTGCTGGCGCTGTTAGGGCACGGTCAAGTACTCGGCGCCAGACGAAGGTCTGAACCGCAGAAACACTGGCCTATGCGGGACAGTTGGTACATCCACCAGGATACGTGCATCTGCCACCATATTCCCAAATCTCTTGTCCAGCGAGAACAAGTCAATCATGGATTCGCAGTCGTCCATGACATGCGATGGTGCGCCTGGGCCACTTCGCGCGGCGCCCTCGAAGATTTTCAACGGGAGCACGGGCGTCGATAGCTGCAGGAGAATGGTTCCGATCTCCTCATATCAAGTCGGGAGCTCGATGTTGGAGCGCGTGATCTCCCAACTTGCTGCTGAGCTTGAGGTTGCCGGGGTCATGCCACCTCCCACATGTAGATAACACGCTGCAGCCATGAACAAACGAGCTCACGAGTTCGCACAAAGCAACGTGCTGCTCTGGCACCAGCACCTGGGAAAACTCCTGCCTGAGACGCCCATGCTGTCATGTGGCATCTGACCAGTATCGACACACCTTCCGGCGCTCTGCCCTGCTCAGTTCTGCCTGCAGGACCACCGAATAGCTGCCAACCTGTTTTGTGCAGTGAGGCTCTTATATGCAAAAACCTATTCGGTAACAACCTGCGCTCTTGAACCAAAACAATGGAAACAACAAGTTGCGGCAAAACTGCCTCCACGGTATTCGAAAAAGAAACCTTGACTGTGATAATCTCCAAACCTTCTCGTTTGACGCTGTTTCCACATCGGCGTTGGGGATATCCGGGGGGACTTCTTTGGGCTCCTTCTGGAGGATCATCAAAGACCCGGCTTGCTCTTTCTCGCCACCTTTGTCGAAAAAATGGGGCAGCTTCGGACTGTTCCAGACGATCTCCTGGACTTTGGATCTGAGGGCAGGTTCGCTTTGCTCTCCCCGCGCCGATGATTGAGACTGCGATTGCGGCGACCCTGATGACGAGGCCCCCGCTGCTGCTTCGGGTTCCGCTGCTGCTGCTCCTGGTGCATGGTATCCTGCCCCTCCATACGTGTCACCTCCCCCAGGCTGAGCTCCTCCATCTTCTCCCACCTCTCTCTGATCATGTTCCGCACGTGATTGTTTTGCTCGCATCTCACAGCACCGAATAGGATATGGGTAGTTTCCTCAAACATGGTTTTGAGACAAGCATTGCGGGCGTTAGCTTCAGCCTTCTCCCCTTGCGAAAGGTCCACAAACTTTGGGCCATATGGGGAGGGGGTGGCCATTCCGTGTATGAGACCGTGTTATCTTTCCAGTTCCTGCCACAATGTTTACACCAATCCCAGTGCCATTTTTTTGGCGCGCCCGCAACCCACACATTTCCAGACGCGAGCAAGATAATCCAACGGAGAAAGAACCATCGGCGCGCCGTAATGAGTGCTGGAAAACATAATGTCGTAGTGATAGACAGCGCGGAAACACACAGTACAATACCATCAAAGCCCTTGGGGCTGTAAAGTCCCCCTGCCACCATACTCCTGTCCTGGGCCAACGCTGCGGAATTGAGCCTGAATGGCTACGGTTTCCTTCTCCTCCTCCTCCTCGTTCTCGTTCTCCTCCTCCTCCTCCTCCTCCTCCTCCTCCTCCCCCTCCTCCCCCTCCTCGTCCTCCTCCGCCTCCTCCTCCTCATCCGCGTTCTCTTCCATCTCCTCCACCTCCTCCTCTCCCTCCTTCTCCTCTTCCTCCTCCTCCTCCTCGTCGGCGGCCCCTCGCTGGTGACCGAAGGGCAGCGCGGTCTGAGGAACACCTTTCGGATGAACTCGACCTTGCATTTCTCGCCGCCTGTAGTGTTCTTGTTTGACGGGGGTCGCAGAACACATCGGGCACGTGCGAGGAGACGGCTTTTCTTATGAAACAGCATGGAGGGGCCACTTCTGGAAATATCCGCCAGCAGGTGGTGCGCACGTATACTGCATTTAAGAGCTGACATGCGATGAGAGTCACGCTATGAGAAGTTTTGGGCTCTGTGGGTGATCTCGAAGGTCCCCTGAGGTGCCCCAACGCTTATGTGGGCCCCACGGCCCTTGCGGGATAAGAAACTTCTGTGGGCACCTGCCGCTGAACTGGTGTCTGCCTATTGTGTGGGCGTGTTCGCGCGCGCGCACGTCTCTCTGCTTTGGCGGCGTTCCCTCCGAACTTGGCGGGCGAGACCGGGCGCAGCCCCCGCAGATCATCGACACCCGAAGCCTGAAGAGAACAGGGCACACATCACAGGATCCATCCTGCCACTTCCTCAACAGATCCATACATCACTCTTTGTAGAACTGCGGCGCTGACGGCCGCTCAGCGCGTGGTGGCCCAGAACAGGATGCGGAACGGCAAGTTGGCACCAGGTGGGCACGAGGAGAGAAGGGCGGCCGCGGAGGGGGGGACCGAAAGTGGAAGAGGCGCTCAGGACGTGAAGCTCTTGACGAGAGGGGCTGTGGCCAAGGCTCCAGGTTGGAGTCGTGCCAAAGGGCAGCCCAGGGGCTGCTCAGTGCGAACCTGCCAGGACGCAGGGGACGGGATCCAAGAGGTTCTCGAGGATGCTGGGCGCCCCGCGGACGCAATTTGCACGGAGCGAGGCTGAGCTGTGTGTGTGTGATTTAGCACATCCCGCGTCCACCTAGAAAACCTATTCGAAGCGAGGAAGGGCACCATCATGCCACCACGCTCCGAACTGCGAGGCGTGTCGGAACACTGGGGGCTGCAGCACCACCTCCTCCTCCTCCTCCTCCTCCTCATACTCATCCTCATCCTCCCCTTCCTCCTCCTCCTCCTCATGCTCTTCCTGTTGCTGCTCCCCCTCGCTCCAACGCTGGCCCAGCTTGCTTTCCTACCCCTTTTCTCCTTCTCTCCTCCCAGCATGCAGATCCTACGACGTCAATCCAATCAAGCAGCCCTCCCTCCACAATCCAGAACCCCCACACATTCACACACACACACACACTATAAAACACATAGAACCACCCATTCCTTCTCTCTCTGCTCTTCCTCTTCCATCCGCTGACTTCCGCGGACCCCCCGCCAGTTTTCGACAAGGGGGAAGCCGAGGAAGGGAGGGGGAGGAAAAGGATGGGAAGCGGGAGGAGGTGGATGCGGAGGAGGTGGACTTCGGGGGAGCAGACAGAAACTGGTGGACGAAATTGGCAGAGGCGGCCGCGGGGAAGTTTTAGGATGAGCACGCGGAGGAGGAGGGGGTACTGCAAGAAGGGGCAAGGAACGCGCAAAGCAGTCGGACGGAGGAAAAGAAGAAAGAGGCGGAGGAACGGATGAGGAGTACCATGATGAGGAAAGCCTTTGAAAACAATACGGGGGGGGTCGAAAGAAAAGATGGCAACACCGCGGGAAAACAACGCGAATTTGGGCCTCAGGGTTCCGAGATCTCTAAGAGGAAACGACGGCGTCGACATGGTAGGGAGACTGAGTCATGGAATCAAAAACTAGCACATGGTCGATCTGTTAAGGTTCGACGTGATTCTTTCTGTTTAGAAAATGTGCGCTGGCTAATCGGGTTCTTTCCCCACGCATCCGCGACCGTGAGATGTTTCGCGAAGACAAGCTCGCGCAGGTTGCGCTTTCCATCCCGCGGTCCAAAACTTGGAAAAACCCGCGAGCCCGAAATAAACTCAGGGCATCCCGCGGAATCGCTGGAGTGCTGAAAAACAAAAACGTCATGGCTTATAGGTGCATGATCAACGCAGCTCTGCAGATCACCGGTGTCCCCGAAAACGCCAGCGCGCGAATCTGAGGGCTCGAGATGGCTGCCCAGATGGGGCCGGGAGTGGAGGGGAGGTAGAAGAGAGCAGCAGGATATGCAATGGAAGCAGGCAGACTGCTCACGCAGCGATGGGCGACAATCTCCGATCTTCTCGTGAGTCCCCGAGTGGGGAGATCACAGACAACTGCGTGGCCAGAAGCGTCAACAACTGCATCGCGTTTTACGTTGATGTTCTCCTGGTGGCAACACATATTCCGCTGGTTTTTGTTTACTTCTAACCGGTCAAAACATTTGGCAGTTCCACGGCTCGGAGCACCCTGAGCTTTCCATCTGACAGTCACAAATCCGCATTGTAATCGTATGTACCCGCCCGCGCAGGTCGGAAAACCCTCGGTGGTTCGCTAAAATCCAGGATGTTCTCTTGAAGCATGACAGAACCTGTTGAGCATGACAAAACCTGTTGGGATGTGCTCTTCAAACATCGACAGAAACTGTTGAACGTGCGGGGCGGCACCAAGGTTGAACGTCGGAAAAGCGCGCATGTAGAGGCGAAGGGGCGCGTTACACTCTCACTATGGTGCACGTTCGCGTAATAACCAATGTATTGCAATATCCTTTGGCGAACCGACGGACTTCTCGAGCTGATCGGCCGACATGAAAGGATCAAACGTCTGAGGGCCTTGAACACCACGCCGCGAGCGCGCTTGCATCTGGACGATAATGCGATCTCGTCGGGGTACTTGTCTATGGTATGCCGAAGGTCTCTGATGTTCGCAGCGCCTGAAGCATGAAAAGGTCTGTCGTTCGACGCGAGCTTTCTGGGCAACTTCCGACCCTGCATTTCTTTCAAGCAGTTTCTCATGTGGCTGCTGGCAACGAACTCGATGATGCATCTCTCTGCATACCCACCCACCGCGAAGACCTTGGCTGCAGGTTCTGAACTGGGTAGCCATGAGCGTCTGAGTTGACGATGAAATCGGCCTGCAACTCTGCGCCTTCAACATGATCAGGTAAATATCCCCACGCTGATCGTCTTCCGTTTCGTGACACGGACGGTCCACAAGGTGAGGGGAATTACAAGACATGACAAAAAGCCAACCAATGACGGAGCACCACCAGCGGACCCGGTGCCTCTACGTTGACGGCCTGGCCCGAGAACATCCAATCTACCACGAAAGGAATCCATCTCGTCGGAGAGTTTCTTCAAATCTGTCTCAATATGATGAGTTTGCTTTGGAGACTCGATCGATCTTTCGCGCTCAGGGTCTTGACGTGGCTCTTCAAAAGCCGGGTCGTGTTCAAGGTCCTGAGGTCGATCCGACGTGGTTCTCCTGCAGGGAGAGCTGGAGCCTCCATCCTCACACGACGCTGAGGAGGCTCACCCTCACCAGGCATCTCCTCGTCGGAGTCGAAGAGACCGACACCCTGCGGTGGGGGCTCGCAGGAGGCTGCACCCGGAACTTGCACGCCAGCGCCCCCACCTGCACGGGCCATCGCGAGCGACAGAAGGAGCGAGAAAAGCGGGAAGAGCGGAACGTCTGCAATCTCCATTACGTGCTGACCGAACAGATTTCGTATCTGCTGAAACTAAGTTCCAGGAAGATGCCTTGAGCCGGAGTGTCCACGAAAGGGAGGATTGACATGAGGGTCTGGACAAAAAGGGTCTGGACAGAAAAGATCTCCTGACAGCTCGCCGTACCAGTCTTCTCGCTCCACGTATCCGACGACCCCGCGCGTCGGGGGTGAGCTCGGCTTGCAGGGGGCGGCCAGTTCTGCGGCCAGGCATCGAGCGGATGTGGTCTGCCCGAGCCTAATCCTGTTGCTCTTCCCACTCCGATGTCCAACGTGTTGAACAGCGTTGCTTATGTGGGTTCGTCTTCTTCGGCCCCCAAGGACATTTGTCGACCCTATGGGCCGTCAAACAACGACTCGGGGCGAAAGGCTGACCCTGGGGAAACGGTCGGGGCTTCATAGGGCCCCGCATTGACTACACATCACGACACTGGATCTCTGGGCCGACCTCCCCCTCCCACACGAACCCGCTCCTCCTACTCCAACCCCCTCCTGTGCTCCCTCTTCCTCAACCTCCACGTCAGCCTATTCGTCATCCTGCTCCTCTTCTGCCTCCCCCTCTCCCTGCTCCTGAGCCCCCAGCTCCCACCCATCTCTCCTCCGCACTGGTGGCCGTTTTGTCGTGAGTGCGCCGTGCCAACACGCTCCCGACAAGACGGCTGAGGCACGGCGTCTCGGCCGAGGCGTGCCTGGATCGGGGGCCGACACTGTAATGTTGCGATCGTTGTTTTGAAGGCGCCCAAGGACACGCACACACAGGCACACACACATACACACAGACACACAGCCAGACAGACAGACAGACAAACAGACAGACACACAGACAGACACAGGCAGACAGGCAGCCAGACAGACAGACAGACAGGCAGACAGACAGACAGACAGACAGACAGACAGACAGACACACACACACACACACAAACACACACACACACTACACGTAGGCACAAATCCCAAGATTCCCAACATTTTCTGGAGTTTCGTCTTCCCCTCCACTTCCCATCTGTTCAACAATTTCCTGGGAATCGACGCTTATGTGTGTCTGTGTGCTTCTCGTCCTCCTGATAACTATGTGTTTTCGTGGTGCAAGGTTTCTGTGCTGTTCCATTGCCCCGACTGGTTCTTCGATAGCTTACCTGGCTCGGTTCGCCGGAGGCTCCTGCTGCTCCTCTTCTGCTCATCCTCCCGTGCCGTGCGCTGCTCCTCATAAGCCTCCTCCGCGCCCTCATCCTGCTCTCCCGCCTCCATCTACGCCTCCTGCTCTTCCCCCGCACCCTATCCCATCCCGCTCCACTTTTCTGCTGCTGCTCGTTCTGCTGCTCTTCGGCGACAGCTCCCCCTCTCACTCCTCCTCATTACGCCGCGATTGAAAAACGGCACCCCTGCGGCAGCAGACGACCCCGAACAGCCTTACATACAGCTCACGCTGAGGAGCCCCGACGGCGGCCACGCTGGCAAACCACTTCAGGGAGGCCATTTTCGGGTGCCTGGGCTACCCCACCTGGCGTGAGAGACATCCTATATAAAACCCTAACGCCCCTTCCAAATGAGACTCGGAATTTTCGAAGACCCAGTCTTGGCGGCGCCCACGAACGGGTGGCGCACGGGGGGCGGCAAACAACGACTACGACGACGACGACGACGACAGCTACGTCTACGATTGCGACTACGACGAAGACGAGGACGACGAGGACGACGACGACGACGACTACATCGTCGACGACGACTACTACTACTGCAACTACTGCTATTACCAATGCTAGTAGTAGTAATGGTAGTAGTAGTAGTAGTAGTAGTAGTAGTAGTAGTAGTAGTAGTAGTAGTCGTAGTAGTAGTAGTAGTCGTAGTAGTAGTCGTAGTAGTAGCAGTAGTAGTAGTAGTAGTAGTAGTAGCAGTAGTCGTAGCAGCAGCAGCAGCAGCAGCAGCAGCAGCAGCAGCAGTAGTAGTAGTAGTAGTAGTAGTAGTAGTAGTAGTAGTGGTAGTAGTAGTAGTAGTAGTAGTAGTAGTAGTAGTAGTAGTAGTAGTAGTAGTGTAGTAGTAGTAGTGTAGTAGTAGTAGTAGTAGTAGTAGTAGTAGTAGTAGTAGTAGTAGTAGTAGTAGTAGTAGTAGTAGTAGTAGTAGTAGTAGTAGTAGTAGTAGTAGTAGTAGTAGTAGTAGTAGTAGTAGTTAGTAGTAGTAGTAAGTAGTAGTAGTAGTAGTAGTAGTAGTAGTAGTAGTAGTAGTAGTAGTAGTAGTAGTAGTAGTAGTAGTAGTAGTAGTAGTAGTAGTAGTAGTAGTAGTAGTAGTAGTAGTAGTAGGTAGTAGTAGTAGTAGTAGTAGTAGTAGTGGTAGTAGTCGTAGTAGTGGTAGTAGTAGTAGTAGTAGTAGTAGTAGTAATAGCAGCCGTACAACCACTACTACGACTACTACGCTTACTACGGCTACTACGACTACTAGGAGTACAAAACAACAACTACTACTACTACCCCGACTACAGCTGCTACTAGTACTGTTGCTACTACTACGACTACTACTACTACTACTACTCCTACTCCTACTACTACTTCTACTACTAATACCACTACTAGCACTACTGCTACTACTACTACTACCACTACTACTACTACTACTACTACTACTACTACTACTACTACTACTACTACTACTAATACTACTACTACTACTACTCCTACTCCTACTCCTACTCCTACGACTACGACTACGACTACTACGACTACTACGACTACTTCGACTAGGACTACGACTACGACTACGACGACTACTACTACTACTACTACTACTAGTTCTAGTAGTAGTACTACTACTACTACTACTACTACTACTGCTACTACTACTACTACTACTACTACGACGACGACGACGACGACTACGACGACTACTACTACTACTCCTGCTGCTGCTGCTACTACCTCTACTACTACGACTTATGCCTCAAGAGGCTTTAGGACCAGTCCTATTCACCGCCAATCGAAAAAGAGGGCAGGTCAAAACTACAGACCTTTAGCGGTGATCCACGGCCGCGGGATTTCTACGAGGGATCGGAGACTTCTGAACCGCCCGCCAGGATTCTGAGACGCCGTCTCAGAAGGCTTCAAAGATGCCTTCTCAGAAGCCCCTGGGGCCTTCTGAAAAGACCCTCCCCTTGTTAGAAGCCACCACTCGGCGTCTCGACTTTTTCAAGACACGGGCACCTGACTTCTCGCTCACTTGCCTGGGGACTGGCTTCTCATCCCGAGTCTGTCCCTGATGGTCCCGAGGCCGGGTGAGGGCCCCGAGAGGCCGAAAAAAAAGACAAACTCCCTCTCAATTCTCAGGGGACGAAGACCAGAAAGAAAAAGAAACCTGCCCGACGCCGGAGAAAAACATCTTGTACTTCGCTCTTCGCCCGCGAAGATTTGCTCGAGACGCTGGATGTCTGGGACCGCCCCGAAGTTGAGCAGGGCTGGGGGTCAGGTCTACAGAACACACCAAACGGACGTCAAGTGGCGCAACCAACCTGTTCGGTCAAGCTGAACTTGATGCACCACACCCGCCGTCAAGCCAAAACCTTGGACATAAGCGAAAGGGTTAGCTTTTGCACATCCCGGCCGGCTCAACCGGCGAGGCGAGGCGGTCCTGCAGAGGCAGGCGCTCTCTGACCCTCGGCCCTGCGACACCCCAACGACATCGACCCTCGGGGAAGCCCTGCGTCCGCCCCTCGGCGCGCGCAGCGCGGTGCACAGGTCCGCGGCCGCGAGCCCGCGCTCGGGCCGCCCCGCGCCGTCGCCGCCCGCCGCGGGCTCGCCGCCCGCCGCCGCGGGGTCGTGCTCCTGGGAGGGAGCCTGCGCTCCAAGCTTGTCTGCGTTTGCCCAACCCCAGAGAGCCGATGTTCCGAACGAAATTGAGCCAACGGGTCTTTGGTGGTGATCGGCCTCTAAAGGGCCCGCGCCGGGCCTCGCGACCGTCAAGATGCGGCTCGGGACAAACGGCAAGCCCCAGGGAAGCGGTCCAGACCTCCGGGGCACACGCATCGAAAAAGTTGGAGCCGCCGGATGTCTGGGACCATCCTGTGGTGTTGGGTCCTCGCTTCCAGGGTTTTCTCTGCTGCCGACTTGTCGCTCGAAGAGCCGTAAGCTTCGCTGGAAGGGGCCTGTTTCCATAATGCTTTTGACGTGTCGCTTCCGTATGTGAGCGACCTGCAACAAGCGGAGCCTTGACCCCGTCCTGCTTTAAAGCGCATCGCCAAGAGTCTCCCTCCGCCATTCCTCCTTCCTCCTCCTCCTCACATTCCTGCCTCTGCCCTGCCCTTGAATTTTGCTTGTTGTCAGAAGCGTGTATGATGTGTATTTCGAAATGTTGTACGTATATCTTCCATGTGTATACATGTGTCTGAGGTGAGAGGGGAGCCCGCGTTGGGGAAATGGGTTTCCGTTTCGTGATCGTGTCGTGAATGCAGGCGATGCGAACCTGTGTGTGCGGGCGAGAGGAATGAACCCTCCTCTGGCCAGGGTGCCGCCAGGCCAAAACACCGCCCTGGCTGGTTAGCGGTAGCTGTGTGAATCCTGCCGTGGTGTCAGGATGGTGCCCCGTGGTGTCCCCTCGGTCCCGTCAGTGTCCCGTCGATGTCCCGTAGTGAAATCGATAGTGGAATCGATCATGAGACCGATCATGAGATCGACCGTGCGATTGGCAAGGGGAGAAATCGCGAGATCGATAACGAGATCGACTAAGAGACCGCTGGTAAGATCGACAGTGAGATCGATCGTGGTGTCGAAACTGGTATTGGTAGTGAGAGGGATGGTACGAACGATTGTGAAATTGGTTGTGAAGCCGAGAATGAAATCGGATATATATATATATATATAATATATATAATATACTATAATATATATATATATATATAGTCCGATTGAAGCAATAACGAAATCGATTATAATTCTCCGTGAGGCCCCTGGGTCTCCAGAGGCGTCATCTGTTCTGTGTGAAGCAGATCTGTCCCGACGCCACGCGCAGCAGTCGACTTCGCGAGGGCGTGGCGCACAAGGAAACTGAACGGCAGAGCCAATCACTAACGCAATGGTTGAAAAGGCGAGAGGAGGGGAGGGAGGGAGGGAGCGACTTGATCGTAGGAGGCACAAGAACGGATGCAAGCTCAGCCGAACCAACCGATGGCGGAGACCCTTTGCATTACTCAGGATGCCCGTTCCAAGAACAACTATCCTCCGTGAGGCTCCTGGGGTCCAGAGGCGTCATCTTTTCTGTGTGAGCCAGATCTGTCCCGACGCCACGCGCATCAGTCGACTGCGCAGG